GTGGAGGTGGCCCTGTGGCAGGAGGGACACAGGTGGCCCAGGCTGTCCCGGGCCATCCGATCTCCGACGGGACTCAGGTTCTACTCCAGACCAGGCGGAAGGAAGCAAACAGCCAGCAATAAATGGCAAACATTCCATGGCAAGCCATTTATTTATTTATGTTTATTTTTTTTGAGATGGAGTCTTGCTCTGTTGCCCAGGCTGGAGAGCAGTGGTGCGATCTTGGCTCACTGCAACCTCCGCCTCCCGGGTTCAAGCAATTCTCAGGCCTCCGCCTCCAGAGCAGCTGGGATTACAGGCACCTGTCACCACAGCCGGCTAATTTTTGTATTTTTAGTAGAGATGGGTTTCACCATTTTGGTCTGGTTGGTCTTGAACTCCTGACCTCAGGTGGCCTGCCTGCCTCAGCCACCCAAAGTGCTGGGATTACAGGCATTAGCCACCACACCTGGCCCTGTGACAAGCCTTTTGCATGCTTACTGTAGAGACAAGAAATGGGAGTCTGGCTCCGTTTCGTAAAAGACGGATGATTTTTCTAAACTATACACAAGGACGACCTGTTGACCTGAGAGACGGGACTTTAAGCCGTGTTTTTGTACCTCATTGGAAACTTCACAAATGTAGTAGCTGAACCTGAAAGCCAGGCACAACCTACAAAACAGAGCCACGTCCTTTGGAGGAACGGCTGCGCAGAAGGGGTCAGCACTCGGCCCTGGAGCCCGCTGCAGAGGGCTCAAACACTTCACGCGCTGGCGGGGAATGTTCACGGCTCCACGCGTTCATTCCACCCCTTCCCTCTGTGTGCTTTTCTGCTGTTTGCTTCTGAGACGTGAACATGTAAAAAGCGTGACACGTCAAAGCCGAGGCCTAACTAGTTGCTGTGAACACGGCTGGACAGGCCAAATAAAATGGAGGATCCGAGCCTCCTCCCAGGAGGGCCAGGGCTGCGGCTAGGCCATGCCAGGCAGGAGGACACTGGAAGGGGAGAAAACCAGGAGCACAGGCGGGGGCGGGAGGTGGGAGGCCACTGAGTGGAGGCCCCAAACACAGGAGGGAAGGAGGCAGGGACAGAGGCTGAGGGCTGGAGTGACTGACTGGGTCTTCTGTGGGAGGCAGCAGGGACCCCCTCTCCCTACTTAAAAACAAGAAAAAAATCTTCCTCTAATGTTAAGCACATGCTCTGTACAAACCAAGGGGGAAATAAAAAGTGCTCCTGACCGTCAGTTGCGAGTCTTCCTAGCGTGCAGGAATACAACTGACAAATATTTATTTTTTTCTTCTTATTCTTTCAAATCTTATCCACACCAGGACCCACAGACAAATTCCTTTAACATCCCTATTTCCTGGCTGTGAAATGGAATCTGGGTTTGTGAAGACCCAGAAACCTGCAGTTTTCCACCAGAAAGTTTACTGCAGTCAGCAGGAAGGGACGGCCCCACGCAGGTGTCTTTGAAAACGCTGGACGTCTATACAGCCCAGTCCTAGGACAAAAGTAGCCCGAGGAGGTGTGCAGGCCGCTCCGATATTCATCTTCATGGATCTTTCCTCGAGGGGTCCTGCGGTGACCACTCGGGGACAGTGAGGAGGGAGAGAAGTCACAGAGCGGCGTCCCCGAAAGGTGGTTTCACTGGGAGGTGGATGTGGCAATGGGGGGAGCTTGCTACTGCAGGAAAGCGCCCTTGTGAACAGGAGCACGCGTGAGAGCCGAGGCTGTTCCCTGGGGACACCCTCCCATCCTCTAGGCAGTACTTCCCAGCGTCGGTGCGATGACGCTCTGGGTTAAGTGTCCAAGGATGTGTCATCTGAGCGGACATGAGCTGGAGGCCGGTGGCCACAGTAGGTGTTGTGCTCAAGGAGAACCACGCAGGGCCAGCGTCCCCCACAGAGAAGCAGACGGAGCCGTTTTCAGGCAGGAAGCCCCGGTGGGTGTGGGGCCTGATGGCCGCATTCTCCTCCCTGTCCCGTCTCCTGGTGGGTGTGGGGTCCGGTGGTTCCCTTTCTCCTCCCTGT